CTGGCTGGTGTCTGCCCTGCTTGGTAAGACACAGTTAAACTTCACAGAAGATACTTGTTGCAATGTCTGCTAAATGAGAACCTTACTTTAATAAAAACATTTGAATATAAATCTTTTCTACGACTTTCTAGTTTTTCCTGTGTACCACATTTACAAAAGTTGTGTGCATTTTACAGATCTGCAGAAATCATTGATTCGGTGTGTCCATGAATGTTGGAGTCTCCTAGCAAAGACGGTTGCTTTGAGTCTATTTTGTAGGGTTTTTGAGATTTGTTGCCGAAAACAGTGATACCCATTCCACCGGGATGATTTGGAATCGACATGTGTGGGAGTAAGGGAATATTTGCTTCCTGATTGGATCCTGATGAAGGCAAGCTGGTCACATGACCAGTACTAGTTGACCCACTGGCACTGCTCGGGGACCGACTCTTGGGAGGTGGGCAGTGCTGGATCACTCTGGGAGGACCTGGTGGCTGATAGTGGGCAGCTGGAAACGCTGCGTATCCAGGAGGTATTGGGTATCCATTGATGGGGATGAACCGCTGGTTCTGAGGTATCGGTGGGCTGATGAAACCAGCAATCTGGCCCTGTGGTGTAATACCCTGGCTCGGGAACATATAATTGGGATACCTGGGGTTACTGAGATTACTCACTGGGCTGGCACTAAGGGAGGTCGTCTGCGTGGTGGCATTTCCGCCCGAAGGAGTAGTTGAGCTGGTGTGACTTGAGAGCCCCTCCCAGGACCGAAGCCGGACGTGAATATCTTTAAATCTTGGTCTCCTGGAAGGAATCTCATTCCAACACTCCGTCATGAGGCTGTACATTCTGGGTGGGCAGTCTTCGGAGCATGGTAACAGCTGTCGTTTTCTCACCATTTCGATCACTTCCTGGTTACTAAATCCATAATATGGCTGGAGTCCAAAACTGAAAATCTCCCACAAGACAACCCCAAAAGACCAGATATCTGAATCGGAAGAGAATTTGCCATACATGATGGCTTCAGGGGGCATCCAACGAATGGGCAGCAAAGACTTACTCTGTACCCTGTAGTAATCAGCGGAGTATATTTCTCTGGAAAGCCCAAGGTCTGAAATCTTCACGTGAAGTTGCTCTCCGATTAAAATATTGCGAGCTGCAAGGTCCTTATGGACAAAGAAATGACTAGACAGGTACTCCATGCCGGCTGCAATCTGAATTGCAATATGTAGAAAATCTCCGTGATCCAGGCTGGATTTTACAGTCCCGTCTTCATCACTGCTACAGCCAACATCTGAGTGTGGGGACCGCATGATGAGGAACTCATGCAGATCTCCCTGATTCATATACTCAAAAAGCATACACACAGGCTGTTCCTGGGTGACGGCCCCTAGAAGGCAGACAATATTGGGGTGGTGTAGTTCGGCCATCAGAGAGGCTTCCTGCTGAAATTCTGTCCATTGCTGGGGGTTGTTATAGTCTTTCAAGGTCTTTATAGCAACTAACTGAGCATGGTCCATGCCTGGGAGGTAGAGGTGGCCCTTATAGATTTTTCCAAGGGCACATTCACCCAATTCTTCCATAAAACGTACAGCGGAAAGGGGCAGTTCTTTTGCCTTGCTCTGTACAAGAGAAAGGAAAAGAGTGGTTTAAAACACTTCTTAAGGCAAGACATCCTGGCATCTAAAAGGAGGGGTGGGCATATTGAGAAAGGCTCTATAAATTAAATTAAATACAACATCGTACACCTATAAGTCTTTAAAATTGTTGGCTGCAACTTGGAGGAAGCGCCATGGGCAAATTTCTGTCCGTCACTCCCCTATCTCCCCATCCATACCCCCTGCACCAACAATGGTTTTCTGCTGCTGCCTAGAGTCTTGCCATCCCAAGAGTGGTCTTGAGATCAGCCACATCAGGATCACCTGAAGCGCACGACAAATTGCAGACCCTTGGGCCCACCTCAGACCTATGGAATCTGGATCTGCATTTAACAAGACCCCCGGTGATTTGAGTGAACGTCAGTGTGCGAGAAGCACTGCTGCAAGAGGATACAGCCTTGAATTCTTAGCCTGGCACTTGGAGTGATTGTGATTTGGTCCTATTCTTGCTACACCTCTAAGTGATGGCCTCACTTTGGTTAAACAGGTCTCCTCAGTGTCCACATGCAAGCACCATGCACATTCTTGCCTAATATTTTTGTTCTTCCAATGCTCTCCTATTTTTAAGGTATATATTGAGCTGAAAGCCAGAGAAACCAAAACAAAAGACTGTCCTGAGGTGCTCATAGTGGAAGTGGGGAGGTTTGGAATGTGCTCCTCTCTATTTATCAAATCCTTGCTCTGAAACTCTCCCTGACCACTCTGGTCGTTGCCTCATCTGGAATCCTTTTGGCTTTGTGGTCTGAATGCTGCTACGTGCAGGACACAGTGAGGTGGCTGGTTACATGCATGACCTCCGCAGCCAGACAATTTGAGTCTGAATCCTGCCCTTTCCACTTACCAGCTGTGTGACCCTGGTTACAGTATTTATTTAACCACCCTTTGCCTCAATTCCCCCATCTATAAAATGGGATGATAACAATTGTACTTACCTCATAGGGTTCTTGTGAACTTCATGCTATTTAACCTTTAGCTCTTATTACCTTGCTGTTGCTTTTCTTCCTATGAATATATTTTGTCCTCTCAATCAGATTTAAATTTTTTGAAGGTAGGCATTGCCCTTCATACCAACTGATTATCTACGGCTTTGCAAGTGGGTTGTTTACTGATTGGTCTTAAAACAGACAGGAGAGAGCATCCAGCTCACAATGAAAATAAGTATTAAATTGTGACATTTGATCTTGACAGTAAATGTCTATTATGTCATGTGTTTTTACTATTTCTTTGAAATTCACCTGAAATCTACCCTGACATTTAATCTAATTTGTTAGGGAAAAAGTCATAAAAGCAATACATTTGTTCATAAACTGATTTTTAAAATAATCCCTTTAAATGCACTTTCAATCCTTACTTTTTAGATAAAGAATACTGCTGTGGTGAGTATCCCAAATGAAGCTGACAATTTTGCAAATACATATGGAATTCAGAGTGCTCCATACAGAGTTTAAAGCAACAGTTTAGAAAATTAAGTAAAACATTTCTCTAAACCAAACTCCACTAATCTAAAATTCATGATGATTAGTTCTGTTCTAGGCTGATATTTTCCAGGGCAAAATGCCCATCAGCCTCATGGTAAGTGTAAATAAACTTGCAGCAAAATACCCACTTAAAAGGATGAAATAGAATTGAGGATTTTGAAACATTAATTCCTCCATGTAAATAACACCTTATTTTATATAGGTCTCACTGATTTGTTAAAGCAGATTTTATGGAGTTTGTATATGTAAATGTCTTAAAATTTTTTTTGTTGTTTTGGGGGGGTAATTAGGTTTATTTATTTATTTATTTTACTTAATTGAGGTACTAGGGATTGAAGCCAGGACCTTGTGCATGCTAGGCATGCACTTCTACCCCTGAACTATACCCTACCTCCTGTAAATACTTTGTAGTACAGTTACTTCCACTGAAAGTAACGGCAACCCATTGCTTTAAACATTCAGGAAATTAAAGCTTATTAATCCAGTCCCATTAATTATAGTATTCTTTGTAACAGCAAAAGATTAGAAATACCCTAGAAATAACCTGTCTATTTAGTGGAGAATGATTAAATTAATTGTGGTGGAGCCAGTAAATAGAATATTATAAAGCTGTAAGAACGAATGAGGACACTTTCTATGTACTGATATGGAAAGATCTCCAAAATCCTAAGTTAAAAATAAAATGTAAAAGAACAGTGAATGCTGTATGCTGCTTTTGTATGAAAGCAGAGGAGAAAAAGAACAAATATATTCATATTTCTTTCCACAGGCATAAAGAAACTCTGAAAGGATGCTCAGGAAACAGCAGTGGTTCCTGGATCAATATGGAAGGGGGCACTGGTGGGTGGCGGGAGGCAGACGGGGGAGATTTTTCACTTCGTGCTTTCTGACCCCTTTACACTTATGAACCAGGTGAACATATTAGTAATGAAAAAAGTGAATAATTTAAAAACATAAGACATATCTTTCCATCTGACTGAACCCAGGAAATTCCATCTACAGTCACAGTTGCTTCACTCTTTTTCCTTTGGCTTCTAGGGTCTGGATTCCGTGGGTGCGAGGGACTTCCTTTGGGAGAACAGGATGTGGGTGACAGGAAAAGTAACCAGGTACCAATCCTACTCTTTTCTCTCGAAGCCCTTCAATGATTTTGCTTTCATGGGCAGAATAATCCAGGGTGAATTTTTCCCACATGACATTAAGATAGGGATTTTCAACGGAACTTTTCCTAATGACGTAAATGAATCCAATTTATGTGAAAGTCCCGTGAATGGCACGGGCGGTATTATTTACTTTTCGACCTAAACAGGATCCTCATGCTTTTGGTGACAGAGAAGGGTGAGGGACTGAGTAATAAACTACTTTTGAGGGAAACTGGGAATTAGGAACTAAACCCAAGGAATAGTAGACTGATCTCATGAGGAGTTAGGCCTCCTTCCCCTTCCCTGCCAAGGTTAACCCATAGGCAGGGTGGGGCAATTCAAGCCATGTGACCTTTGGACTCACACAAATCTGAATTTGCATCTTGGACCTGCTGCTTTCTATTAAGAATAGTTAATATTTATAGACAACTTACTATGTGCCAGACACTGTTCTAACTACTTAACAAATATTAACTCATTGACTACCCCAACCCTGTGGGAAAGAACCTATTCATTAGATGGCTGACCTTTGGTGAGTTTGTTAACTTTTAACCTCTATTTCCAAATCTATGAAATAATGTAGTATCTAGCTTCCATAATTGCAGTAGGGATGAAATGTAACAATGTATGAAAGTAATTTCCACCTAATAAGTGCTCTTTAAATCAATTTTACTGTCCTTATTAGGGAAGTAATCCAGAAAGCAGAGTCAATGCAAATGACTTAGATCCATTTAGAGCCTTACATAGTTCTAGATAGTCTTCTACAATTCTATGTTTAAAATAAATGTTTAAGTTTCTTCTTGTTAATCTTTCTCTGTTCTCCGGTAGTTGTTGGTTTTTGTTTTTGTTTTTTAATTCTTTAAAAATGACAGAGTTTGTTTTGGAGCCTGAGGGTGGGCAAGAATTTGAGTGGCCTGTGGCCTGCTCCTCTCAGGGTTCTGGGAGATGCAGACGGAGGTGGAAGAGTGGATGGTGGCAGATGGGAAAAGGAAGCAAGCTGGCCAAACCTGTGGGGACGGGAAGAGAAGAGGAGGTGGACAGGACTTTGGCGCTGGCCTGACACATGGCCCCTGGGGCTTCACAGCGAAGAAGGCCGGCTGCATTCCCCTCCACTGAGGTAAGCAAATTAGTTCTCTGGTATTTGCCCTTGGAAGAAGAACTCCTACTCTTGCCATTTTACAGATGGAGAAAGAGGCTTAGAAAAGCATCAAGAATTTTTAGGAGAGTCAAAAAGAGCTGCACTTGCGTGTATAAGGCCTTCTGTTTGAAACCAGAGAAGCCTGCTGGCCGGCAAGCCCAGCTGGACACAGCACGTCGCTGGAGGCTCAGCCTGCGGCCTGACACCTTGCAGGGCTAGGAGGTCGGCCTTCCGTGTGTGGTCACTCCGTGGAATGATAACTGTTTTCTCCCTGTTCAGACCCATGACAAAGTACGTTTTGACTCAAAGTGTGTCTTGTCACATGTCACCAATACCCGGCGGGCCAGACAGCAGAGAGTCCCACGTCTTCTGCAGCCGATTGAAGGAAGGAGTAGTTCACCAGAGCTGGTCATGACCAAATTTGGGGATGTGCTTTGGAAAGAAGCACACAAAGTAACTAAAAAGGCAGATTTCCCAAAACCTTTCCTTGGAACACCTGTGCAGCAGCCAGTAATAGAAAGACCCAGAAGAAAAAAAAAAAAACAACAGAAAAACCTGCTCAGAGCTTGGTTTCAGGGGAACAATTTGCACAGTGATTTGCATTTTTAAAATGCTCAAGTTATCTGGTACAAATGAGTCTTAACTAGAGACTCATTTTCAAATTTCACATAAATCCCGAACTAGTTAAAAAAGCATAAAAACCTTAAAGAAGCAGTCAGTAGACTGTACGGTGACGGCAGGAAATTAGCTGTATTGTTGAGGAACAGATGGTTTACATTATACAAACCCTTTAGGCTAAACTTGTTTAGGTCTGGCATATTGTAAATTATATTTTCGTAATGAAAGTGAAATGACCTCTGCTTGACCTCAAGTGGGGTTTGTCTGTTTGAACCAATGTAGTGGAAAACTATGAAAGAAAATGAAGTCATAAAGTTTTGGCAGTTCAATTTTGGCTCATTTCAAGTTAAGGGGTTATAAATCTGTTTAGTTTTTGTTTGACAAGTATTTGTCATACAGGGATGTACAAAATGTAAAGAAGTGTAAAATACACATGAGGCACGATGCCAAAGTAAACCAAGTACAAAGGAAAACTGGAATGAATAGGGTCCTGGGCTCCTATCTCTTTATCACTCCCTCCATTAGTTGAATGACAGGATGGGCTCCGTTTATTATATGCTGTAAGGCAATTAAGTACCTTAAAACTGAAACAGGCTTTCAGTTTAAATGTTAACATTTTTACTCCTCAAAGTAAACACACATCTGCCTCAGTGCGGTTTTAAAAAATTATATAAATTTGGGCGGCGGGGTTAGAGGGGTGGGAGGAGAAAAATCAAAGTTGGATGCAGAAGTTGATACAGGATTCTAAAATCTGATTGTGCTTCTGCCTCGAGGAATTTTTGAACAGCAACTGTATTCGAGTTTACATGAGCTCTTCATAGAAGGAAATGAAAGAACATCTGAGATGTGATTCATGAGATGTGGGTCCGATGCGAGTCTTGCAGTCCCGTCTAAAGAGTGGCTGGAGAGGCCAGGTGGATGTTGGTGGCTCTCTCACCTGTGTGATCAGTACTAAGTGGGGACAGGTGCCCCTTTTAGAGCCATTAACTTTAGGTATGAAAGCAATGAACCATGTGTAGACTTTTTAAAAATTGTAATTATGTAGATGGCAGATGGAAAAGGAGGGCAGCCTCAGGGATTTTCTCTCTTTTCACTTTTGGGAAGTTACACCTTAGGCGATAACACACTTGAAATGACTCCTCTGGGTGACACAGCTTGCGACTGGACTGCCGTTTCCCGCTCACTTGCCCTAAGAGATTACCATAGGAGACGAGAGGAGGACTCTGCAATGACCACCAACATTTGCGTGCAGCACAGATCCTGCTCTGTGACTTTTCACCTGTAACCTGAACAGGGTATGACTGATTGCTCTACGTTTGAGTCCAACTTGAAATAGACACACAGATAAAAAGCAGAGCCACGTGAGGGTGGAGGGAACCAGAGCCCAGGGCAGTTCTCTGGGACAGGAAGGTGGCTCGAATAGCAGGTGCTGGAAAAGGACTAAGGCTGATACTCCCACAGTGGACCCAAACCTCCCCCTGTAGTCTTTGCAGCCTGTACTGGTGCCTTTCCCATCCCTCATGCTCTGGGACGGCTGCCGTTTTACAACTCTCTTTTGTTCTACATTTGCCGATTCTAGCTGGACACAAGTATCTGCGGGAAGAGAGCAGACCCCACACAGGGGCATTTGTCCTCAGTCTTATTAGAGGAATAAGGAAGCAGATCCTGGCCTTGCTGAAATTAGAGGGGTATTCTGGGTAACAGCAAGACATTACTAGGTCTGTTTCTTTTTGGAAGCACAGTTTTCTCTGAGAACTGTATTCCCTGGGGACTTACGCTCTGACTCTCAAGTACTAACCAGCAGAGTCTGCACCAGAGCAGGCACTGGAACCCCCCACAGGGCTTGTTGAACCACAGACTGCCTTATTCTCCGAGTTTCTAATTCTGTAAGTCAGATTCTGCAGTTCTCACAAGTTCCCAGGTGATAAGGATGCTCTTGGACTGGAATAAATGAGAGAACCACTGGAATAAATGAACATAGCTTTCAGAAAAAAAAAAAAGAATATGACTTTCTGGATCAGACAGTTACTGAGTGTCTGGGTCCTTGCTATCTACGTGATGAATGACCACAGTGTCTCTGAAGAACTTGCTTGAGCAATTCTGACTGACACAAGGCAGAAACAGTAACACTCTGCTTGGGAAATGCTAGCCAGAGAAAAATACAAGAACCACCGACTGGTATTTTACTGGGTTATACTCTGCATGGCTACTGTCTTAGAGAGATTCAAGCTTTTGAAATAGAAATCACTCTATAGCTGGGGCCGTGTCATCAGTTTATTCTATTTTCATGGGCAGCCAATTGTGTGGGATATAGTTTAGTAGCTGATTATACCAGTCAGTCAACTGATACTGTATATACCAAACACCAAAGAGTATACACACAGAATAGGAGATGAGAAACCATGCAAGAACCACGAGGAGAGAGGACATAGCTCCTATTCTAGGTGTCCGTAATCTGAGATTAACAACAGATACCATGTTTGACTACCTGCCATGTGCCAGACACTGAGATGGTAATAATGGCTATGATTTTCAGTGAGAAGTGTTTATGTGTTAGGCTGAAAGTACTTTACACATATTAATTCTTTTCATCCTCACAATAACCCTATGGAATTGGTTGCTATGACCATTAACCCCATTTTACAGACGGAGAATCTGAGGAACAGAGTAGTTAAGCGATCCCACAACTAGCAGGCTGCAAATTCAAACTCTAGAGTCTGTCTTCCTCATGACTAGATGACACTCCCTCATCTGCTTTCTCAGGGCTTCGGGCATCAACTCATTTAATCCTCATCACAAACCCATGAGATTCATACTATGATTTCCCCACTTTATGGATCAAGAAATGAAGGCATTCAGTGGTTAAGCAGCTTGCCCAAGGAAGCACAACTATTAAGTGGTGATGCCAAGATTCAGCTCCAACTATGTCTGGCCCCAAAGATGGAGCACTTTTCTGGGAATTAGTGGTAGTTTTCATTTGATCTTCAGAGGACTCTGCAATTTGAAAAGCATGAGGCCCATTGGTGTCAAAGTGGAATGTCAAGGTATAATTGCTCTCTGGTTGAGCCTTGTTGGTCCCATTGGTTGACTGGGATAAATGAACAAAATCTTTCAACAGCAGCCTTCACCTGAGTTGGGCACAGAAGCCCTGGAGAGTATATGAAATTGAGATTTAAAAAAAAAATTTTTTTTTAGTATCTGGACTTGGCTGTTGACAGGAATCTCCTTGACTCCAAAGCCTGTCTTCCCTTCTTATGCATATTACTGGTTCTTAGGTAAACAGCGTTTGAGTTGTGAAACAACCGACTCCACTCATAAACGGAAATGATTGCATTCCGAAAGCTTAACGGCCACGACCATTTTATCTGGGGAGGTTATGGACATTTTCAAGGACGACAGCCAAACTAAGTGCCCCCTGGCTCATGCAGTCGAATTCTCGAGGGAGTTTCAGCCAAGAGTTTGCCACATTTGCTCAGAGTTCAGTGGCACTTCTCGGGAAGTGATTTCACTTCAGAAACAGTTCTTTATAATGTAACTTTCCGATGGCTCATCTGAATGCCTGGTGGTGGTGGCCAGGGTTGATTCTGTGGTGGAGTTACTCTATTAATGTCAGCAGGAGAGGTTCTATTCTGCCTGGAACAGATGCCAGTAATTTTAACGTCAGCCTGAGCCACCACGTGCTCGTAACTTAGGCTTGTGCGTTTCAGTCAGCCTGGAAATGAAGGAGTAGAGTGGAATGCGGAACCCTTGAGCTCTGGACCTGGGCAGACCTGGGTTCGAGTCTTGGCTCTGCCACTTACTAGCTGTGTGCCTTTGGGCAAACTCTTCATCTCAAGCCTCAGTTTTCTCACTCCCCAAATCAGGCTCAAATTAGCACCAACCTCAGAGGTTATTATAAAGATTTATTGAGATAATGCGTGTGAAGCACTTCGGCTTATTCATGATTCCCATTTTGACATATCCCGTTATGAGACTCCTTCTTCCTAGAGGTAAAGCTTCTACGGACACAGGTGTAAGCGGAGGTGCAGTGCTGGGCAGCCTCCCAGTCCTCACTGCCAGACCCTCTCCACCCTGAGGGAGTGAACAGGGTGTGGGGCCAGAGGATGCCCACAGGAACACCAGCGCTATCTAAAGGGCTACCTCTATCATCTTTGCCGTGACTCCCTTGTCCTCACCCCATTTAATGCTGTGGGCTGCTGGATCCGATAGCTTCCTCCCCAACCGGCAGTATCCTGTACACAGCATTTGGCAGCTGATCAAAAGGTTTGTAATTGTTCACATCATCACCAGAACAAAAATAATAGTAACCTCTAGCTGTCGAGTACCTGTGAGGGGCCAGACACACTATTTTGCAATGTCAGAGACATCTCTTTTAGAACAGATTGGTGGTTGCTAGAGGTGAGGGGTAAGAGGGAAGGTGCAAAACAGGTAAAAGGAGTCAAAAGGTACAAACTTCCAGTTATAAAATAAGTAAGTCATGGAGATGGCATGTACAGCTGGTGAATAGAGTTAATCATACTGTATTACATATTTGAACGTTGCTGAGAGAGTAAATCTTAAAGGTTCTCATCACAAGAAAAAATATTTTGTAACTACGTATGATGATGTTAGCTAGGTGTATGGTGAACATTTTGCACTATATAAAAATATTGAATCATTATGTTATACACCTGAAACTAATGTCATGCATGTCAATTATACCTCCATAAAAACAAATTAATTTAAAAGTGTCTTTTTTTAAGGACAGTTTGTATCCTTGTTTTATAGTTTCAGAGAGTGTGCTTACGTTCCCATGGCAAGTAAACAATGGAGCTACGTTTTGTAATCATATTTTTCTGTCTCTAAATCCTTGATCTTCAAAATTTATCATACTACCTCCCAGAAGTAAACTAAGAACAAACGTGGCTGGAAGGGTAAGTTAGGCCCAGAAAGTACAGATTCCTGGGTGCCCGGCAGGAAGAATTTTATAACTTGAGATTGGTCCTTCCAAACTGGGGAATCCTTATGTCAAGTGGGAGATAAGCAATGCCAGAGGATGAAATCAGCATGAGACAGAGAGGAGAGAGAACTGACAAACATCAGAGCAGGCTCCAAGTAGGGAGTTAAAAGAAGAAGAACTAGTGAAGGAAGCAGGAGGAGACAGGAGGGGAGCCAAGAGAAAAAGCATTTCAAGATGGTGGTTAAGAATGCCGAATGCTCCAGAGAAATTAAAGAGGACTAAGACTTGGAAGCAGTCACTGGATTAAATTACATCACTGGTGATTCCCCAGAGGCCATGTCAATAGAACGATGAGCTCAGAAGCCTTGGGACACCAAGGCTTTAAAGAGTGAGTGTAAAAGTTGTTGAGGACATTTTAGCACTGAGTGTCGTGACACTGGATAAGGACAGGAGTTTCAGAGGGGTGGCCAGATCGCAGCAGGGATCTTGAGATGGGAAGCATGCTGCCAGCAAAAGGGACAGGCCCAGAGAACATACGTGTCAGGACGTTCAGCAATGGTCTTGGCTGGAGAGGCAAAGGAGAGATGAATAATCTGGAAGTGAAGAAACAGAGAAGCTGGCAAGAGACGAGGGTTGGTTGAGAAATAAAATACAGCCACCAGCTTCAGCAAGCTATAGGCAAGTTCTGCTTTCCCCTAACTGTTCCTTGTATCAGCCAGGAGCTGCAGTTTGACCCATAGGCCCTCTGCCCAGTCTTTCTGCCCCTCATCCTCAGGCTTCTCCACCCCCTAACCTCTCTGCATGTCTAAACCTCACGGAGGTGCGTCCCACAGGGAAGGACAGAACTGGGCTCACCCTGCGCTTGAGGGGGAGGCTCGACCCCCTTTCTAACTCCCCAAGAAGCAAGCCCCACAGCTTTTTTCTGTCACCGAGACTGCTCTGTGTTTCACACCTGACAGTTGTGGGGGTGAGGTTGGGGAGGAGGCAAAGGGAAAGAATCAGAGAGACGAGAAGTTAGGGTTTCCAGGCTTCTTGGAGAAGGTTCATTTTCCACAGTACTTTTTAAAAAAATCACCTACTCAGACTGTAAAACGTGTAATGTAAGATATAAAAGTCCTACTTAGTTCCTGCATCACCAGAGTCCTGTCAGAGGATTTTAAAGATGGAAATGATAGGAGATTATCTAATCCAGCTGAATGGCTTGACATCTCTTGCTGAACAGAATAAAAGGAAAATAAACAAGCCGTCCTTCTGCAGGGATGCAGTCGACTTCTTTCCCTGAACAGCTGAGAAAATTGAGACACGGAGAGGCTCATGGGCTTCTCAGGGTCACAGGGCAGTGAGAGGCAGAGCCAGGGGAGCATCTCCATTTCCTGAATGTTCAAGGCTCAGAGTTAAAATGCCTCTCTGGTCCACTGGCTTTCTTTCCCCACAGATCAGAAGGAGACTTGTGCCTCATCAAAAGTTTTAACTTCCAACTGCGCCGTCCACCTCTCTGGGGACGCAAGCCAGGTCCGGGCAGCCAGTCTGTCTGCGGCTGCCTATTGTCCTGGCTGAAGAGTATGAATTCCTAATCCCCCAGAGGAGCCTCTTCTTAATCCAAACACTCGGGGTTGGGGTGGGGTGTGGAAGGGGTGGTGGGGGTGTAAAATCAGCTCAACAAGTGGAGAGAGACAGAAAGAGATAGTTTAAACCCTGAAGGGCACATTCACTTGGATACATGAGAATGAGGCCAGGGCAGACCAGCTTCTACTCTTCATTTCTCTTTTGCATTCCAGCCTCCAAATATCCTTTTGATTTTACTCTGGTAGGGTGTTTGTTTTCAGGATGTTTTTTGCCCCCTCTCTCTTTCTTTCTTATGTGTGTCCCTTCTTTTTAGATTTTATAGGTACATGTAATATTTATGTGTCAGTGACCTTTCAAAGCAGTTTTAGAGATTGACTGTTTACATTGAGGAATTTTCTTTAAGGTCTACAAAGTCCTTTGTGCTTTTTCCAGGAAAGGCACTCAGTAAGAACCAAAACAAACAGCTGAATAACTCAAATTTGATTGGAGCCAAATCTCTTAGGAGAGTAAGGAGGAAAAAAAGTTAGCATTTGTTTTGTTGTTTCCTTTCGCCTTCTTGACCCAGTCAAGGATACTTGAGCCATTCCCCTTTCCAATCTGATTTGGGATTGCTTGGGAGCTGTTTAAGGCTAAATTCTAAGCCTTGTGTTGGAGAAATCTTGACACTGGGAATATTTTGCAAGGCACATTTCAGAAATGATCCAGAAATGATGAAAACAAAGTTTGCTTCACCAAATCTTTGGAAAAATGTAGCCGAGTATATTTTACGTTGGTCTCCGTGACCATGGACAATAAAGGACCATTACTGCTCTGCTCAAGTTGCACATGTCCCTGGCAGGACCGGGGCTGTATAATGCAACTGTCATCCAGACCTCTTCAGGAGGTCTGTCACAAGCCAGATGAGGCCTGTGGCTAGTGTTCAGCTCAGAGTGACCAAATGGAGTCATATTTAGTTGTCTGCCTGGCCCCTCAACCCCCCTTCCCAGCATGATTTGTTCTGTGAAAAAGTTATCATAAGGTTGGGCAAGTGCAAGGGCTTTACCTAGACCTGAAAAATCTTACGTTCACACTTCATCCCTTCCAATTACTAGCTCTTTGACCTAAGGCAAGCTACCTAATTGGGTGGCGTCTCAGTTACCCTGGTTGTGTGAGAGTGATAATAATGCAGACCTTTTATAATAGGCATGAGGATTAAGTGAGAGAACGAATGTAAAAACTCCCGGAATAGTTTCTGATAATTTGTACCACTCAATATATATTAGTTTTCTCTATCTGTGCCACAAAGCTCTCTGAAATCTTTATTTGAAAAACTACATAAATCCAAAACATTGTGCCTGTTGGACATCATGTGTTGCAAAATAAACCTCCAGTAAAAATGGAATTGAGTTGCAGATTGAGGCTGACCTACAAAACTGATCATTTTTTCCCAAATGGAAAGGACTCTTCCTATGATTCCTGCCACAGATACAAGGAACCCACCTCCCCAGGATGGTGGCTGCCGCCCATTGATGACTGTAAACAAACTGATCTGGGTCTCTCTCCTACCTGGAGTTCTGGTATTTGTAAGGCTCCTTAACATTTAATAACAGAAATGGCAGGGAAAGATTCTCATAGACAAAGACTATTGCACTAGAGGCTTGAAGTCACAAGATACGTAAAAGGTCAACTAGTTATTACTACATGCATGTGCAATAGTAGTATCCTTTCTGTTTTCCTCTATTACTACATTTGTAAGAATTAAGTGTGGTGTTATATAACATGCTACAGTGACTATAAGTTGCCTCGCTAGCAGCCTGGATGTCAAGAGTTAAACCTCCACCTCCACCCATTCCCCCAAGACACTAAGTGAACTCTACAGTGTCCAGGGTCTGTTTTTTTTGTTTTTGTTTTTTTCTGGTAAAAATTCACACTTGAGTGAACAGTGGTTTTACTTGGGACAGAGGACTTAAAAATGAATTTTCAGCATTTAAGAAACCCCAAAACCTTACCAACAAATATGACTTTACAGTAGAAAAATATTTTAAGTCTTCTTAAATTAAATTAAAAAAAAATCCAGCAGCAAAGCAAAATAAAATTAAATGAGGACTATGTGTCAGCCCAGTGATGCTACTCTACTTATTGGGTAAAAGGATTGATTTGGGTGTGAAGGCATTTTTCTCCCTAAAACTGCATTAAAAACAATGCATATCCTCTTTGTGAGGGTCAAAAGAATAATATGGTCACTAACCCATGGAGAAAATAAATATTTGTTGAATGAATGTTCCTATGGACTTGGAATATGAAGAAAAGGCAGGCTTTTGTGGACGCAAGAATCCTAAATTATTTAAATGAAATCTCTTTGCTGAGAGGTCTGGGATTGAGGTGCTGGCTGTTCGGAGAGAAAGCCTCTGTTGTATGTCAGCTCCAAGATGTGGTGTGTGCTCCATTTCAGGGAAGGGCTAGTGACCCTGGGTTTCCTGCCAGAACCTTGAGCAACTCAAATATTGAAAGATGTGGAGGAAAAGCTAAAAGGAAGTGGATTGATTTAGCACTGAGAGCAGAAGGCTAAGGTGGGCTATCCTAAAAAAGCATTCAAAGATTATAGGAAGGAGAGCACTTCTCTTAAAATAGGCTCGAACTAAAGAGAAAGGGGTTTAGGTTAGACATGGAAAGGAATTTTTAAATTGTGGTAAAAACCACGTAACATCAAATGGTCCATTTTAAGTGGACAGTAGTGTTAAGTATATGCACACTGTTGTGCAATCAGAAGGATTTTTGACAGTGAAGTTGGTGAACAACTTTCAGTTTCTCTCTCTCTCTCTCTGTTCATCTCTTTCAGCTTGATTGTGAGAGTATGGAATTTCCTTCTTTAAAATTTGGAAAAATAGTTCTCATTCTGAATCCAAAGTGGCTGGTAAAGATGATCTCATAAGGATTTCTTCCAGGCCAAACTCTATGGTAAGGCAGTCATGTGACTGGCTCAACATTCAAGTGGTTAAACTGATGAAAGTACGTTCAAGCTGCCTTGGTCAAAGTTAGAGATGTGTGGTTACGCTGAACAGGAACTCTAGCACTTAGAAACTTCTGACTCTGTATCATTTGATTTCTAAGCTTGGGAGGGCTATAAGTTCTGCTTTAACTTGAAGTCCAGAGAACAAATGCAGCTCCATACTGCTGGTCTTACCTTGGGTTTGTATGCATTCAACATCGACATCTCTACATTTTGACCTCTGACATGTTTCGGTTGCCTCTGGACAGGTGGTGACGATGACTTCTGGTTATTGCGACAGACACAAATGAAGAAGAAGAGCAAAGCAATGGCCAGGGGGATGGCAACACTCGGCACCAGGATGTACAGGATCTCCATTTTATTCTTCTCCTTGGAATCCTTTGAATCTGGGTGCAGAAATGGAAAAGAGCAAATGTTATACTAGTTTAAATAACATGGATGATATTACACTGCAGAGTTTAAAACGACCTCCTCTTCTTCTATACATAAAAATGTATTGTGAGAAAAAGGAACCATTGCTTATTACAATTTGTTTCCATCAAACCTTCAACGTGATTTATTAAAGTTTAAAGTTCAAACGTTTAAAAATTGCAGAGGGACATTATGAAGACTTTGCGTGTGTCTGGGTCCCCCTCAGATGTTGCATCTCTTTAGCCTGCATTTCTCCAACACCTTAAAAGTTAAACGCCACGTGGATGGACTGTATACATCCAAGAACATTAATGTGGACCACAGGGGTCTTCTTCTGTTGGCTGCTAGCCCAAATCAACCAGAAGTCATGCCCGTGTCTTGGCTGGTTTGGATATACAGGGCCAATCCTGCATCTTCCAGAATCAACATCACCAAAGAATCCTGGCCCCAGGGTCCACAAAGCGACAGGCCTGAGATGACAGGGACCCCAAGTCAGGGCCAGCTCAGTTTCTGATGAGCTGTGTGATCCTGAACAAACCACTCACCTCTCTGGGTCTTTTTCTCATCCACAAAAGTGAAGTATCTGTTTTGGATGGTGTCTATGATAACCTCTAGCACAACATCACTGTATAACCTGACACTATTTTGAAACTCAAGAGTTCTTCTTAAATGGTTTCATATGAACTCAAGAATTGTGAGCGCTAACAATTGAAAGTATACTTTCGAAATCTTATACATCCACTGTTACCATTGCTTGGAAAAGAATGTAACATGTATAGAAGGACATGAGGACACATACTTTTCTTTTTTTTTTTTTGGTTTGGGTCTGACCATTAAACTAAATGCCCTGGGGCATACTATAATTAATGAATTATTTGACTGGTAAAACAAATGCAAGCATTGTGGGACAGTAATTGGAGGAGTTACATAATGACATGCTCTGATCACCAATAACCTCATCAGCTTTCTTGCTGTAAGAAAACCCAAAGTGTGAAAATGCAGACTGACACAAAATTCACAGATGATTATTTACTTAAAAGAATTAGCCACACATCCATTCCCTCATCCTCCCATTTGCTCAGTAAGTCAATAAACAAAAGCTACTACGGCCAAGCACTCTACTAGGTACTGGGAATACATAATTAAATACATAATTAAATCCTTTGCCCTTAAGGAGCTTGTGGTCTGGTTAGGAAAACAGAGAAAAGATCATTACAATATGCTGTTAGAAGTCCTATGAGGGAAGTATGAAAAGAGTGATGAAGAGACCCCAAAAGTCCCTTTAAACAGTGAGCTTCCCAGCACATGGAAATGAGAATACACTACACGTAGTTTTTACTTGCACACACCTTCCTTGGGAACCTGCTGTCTAGTGAGACAGAGCAGTAACTGATCACACCACCTTCTCTTCACACAAACAGGCTCAACACAAGGCGTTAGGAAGGGCACCAAAACCTGGGGGTTGGGACTGTGCTCTGTGGGTCAGCCCTCAGACGAGCTTGGGGAGGAGTAAAATCTGCTTATTGAGTATAATAAATATAACAGTTTTAGTATTTATTGAGTGTTTTCTACTGGAAGAAAATTAAGTTAGCTGTTAATCATTCACATGGGCCAAGTATTGTTCTAAGCCCCCCTCCTTTTTTTCAGTTTTTGTGTTTATTTATTTTATTGATATGTAGTCAGTTTACAATGCCATGTTAATTTCTGGTGTACAGCATAGTGATTCAGTTGTACATATGTCTGTGTGTGTGTGTATTCCTTTTCATATCTTTTTTTATAGGCTATTACGAGGTATTGAATATAGTTCCCTGTGCTAGACAGTAGGACCTTGCTGTTTATCTATTTTATATGTAGTAGTTAGTATCTGCAAATCTCAAAATCCCAATTTATTCCTCCACTCCCCACTTCTGCCCCAGGTAATCACAAGTTTGTTTTCTATGTCTGTGAGTCTGTTTCTATCTGTAAAGAAGTTCATTTGTTTCTTTTTTCTCCTTTAGATTCCACATATAAGTGATACCATGTTATTTGTCTTTCTCTGTCTGACTTAATTCACTTAGTACAACAATCTTCAGGTTCATCCATGTGGTTGCAAATGGCATTACTTCATTCTTTTTATGGTTGAGCAGTATTCCATTGTGTATGTATATATATTCACACACAGATACCACATCTTCTTTATCCAGTCACCTGTCGATGGACACTAAAGTTGCCTCCAAGCTGTACAATAATTAGCATAAATAGTGCACTGTGAACATTGGGGTGCATGTAGTAAGCATGCACTTTTCTTTAAGCACTTATTTTATTCTCACAACCAGCCCCATGAGGTAGACGCCACCCTCAACCCCACTTTTATGGGCGAGGAAGCAGAGGGGCAGAGTGGTTAATTTACCTGTCCAAGGACACGCAGCTAGAAATTCAACAGCTCGGATTCCTCTCCTGTTGGTCTTGCTTCACACCTCCTGCTCCAGCTACTACTCTAGACTGCTAGTAATTTCAGAGTGGCTGTTGTTTTGCACCGATTTTTCATGGTAGGACTGCTCTTGTTTCATGGAGGTGGGAAGGATGAAGGAGGTCTGAAAGCAAAGCGCTGACGCTTTGCCAGGTGGGCTGCTTTTGAACTGCCCACTTTGGGCACTGCAGCAGGTGAACAGGCATCTCTGGAGGCTGTTCTGATCATTCTAGTCACTAGAACTGGGTCTCGGGCGTTTTAGTAACAATTGTGTCGGCATGTCTGTAGAGGGGTGGACACAGAGAGACAGCATATCTCTCTCTGTCTACATATCTGTCTACCCACTTTACAGACAATGTAGCAGAGTAAAGGAAGATTACATTTTAGAGTGAGAAACCTCTGAAGACTGCCTTTGTCATTATCTATGTAACCATGAGTGGCACTTAAGCCTCTCTCAGCACATTCATCTGTAAAATGGGACTATTTCAGAGAACTGCTGTAAACAATAAATGAAGTAACATGGAAAGTCTCTATTCTAGCACCTGTTACAACTCAATCACTCCATGTTTACCCCCCACTCTTAGACCAGGAAAAGATTCAGGGAATAAAAGCTTTGGGCTGGAAATTCTAAATAACCTTAAGCAAAAAACCAACTCTCTGACCTCCGTCGCCTCATTTATTCAAGGGGAGTAATAGTACCTACTCTACCAATCCCATTTAGTTCATGTGAGCAACGACATTCACGAAGGAATCTTGGAAAATTGAAAACTGGCGCACAGTTGTTGGATGCTATGATTAGCATTCACATTTTAAAACAAATTTCAAATTTCTCAGCACCCTAGGGGGGAAAAGTCCCTCTTGTTATTCTTGGATTTTCAGTGAAATCATTATGAGGGTAAGATTACAAAAGGAATGAGGCTAATTTAGTACGAAAGTAATGCTAGTCATTTTTCTGGCCCACATTTTTAGCAAAAAGAGAAAATAAGGCTCTCACCTGTCTGGCTAACAAAGGAGTCTATTCTGTACTCATTCCGTAACAGATTATTCACGGAACGCCTTTGATTGTACACGGGAGGGCTGGGACAAATCCCCTGGTAGGTCTGCAGGAGAACAAACTTCAAGAAGCTAAATCCTTTAAACACCGCCAAACTTGGCTCCTTCTGATTATACTGAGGATATGCAAACGAGCATGATGTCTCCTTGCCAAGTGAAATAATCAGGCAGAACACGACGTGGTCGTGTTGGAAGTGACAAAAAACAAATTCAGGCCTATTGTGAGTCTTACAACATGCTTCCTTTCCCAGGCGGCTCTCTGCATTTGGCCAGAAGAGGAGTCCATGTCTGGCTCAAAAAACTCCATATAAAAACATTCAGCAGAGCAACTAACCTTACACATGCAACATTAGAAAACTAACATTTGCCCAACCCCTCTTTAATGTCCTAGCATTTTTATTACTCATTTTAACCTAGCACTTGGGTTTATCTTGGCTTTACACACAGACAACTTGAGGCTGAGAAAGGACAACAACTCGCCAAAGCTAGGAAGTGGTGGGGTCTCAGTTGGAAGGCAAGGCTGTCTGCCTTCAATGCCTTTGTGCTTTTTAAATCACATGACTAATAATAATTAAAATACCATATAAAATTGTTTTTCCTCATTCTCCTAAAGATTCCAAGATTTCTTCTCAGTAAGGACTGACTCATTATCTAGTGGGAATCATACTATTAAAAACAGTCACATAAGAACAATGGACAGTATTCTTACTATCCACGTTAAAGGGCAATGAACTCCTACAACACACTGCAAAGAAAGTTGGCCGAAAATTAGAATGGGGAAGATTTTTAATACTTTGGAATAACTGTTTAAAAGTTAAATGCATGTATTAGTTACATCAAGTTAAATACTTGGGATTTTTGAAACCCACAATTTAGTCCGGACCACATGATTAATTTCCTTTTAAAAATCAACAATTTGGTATCACAGTTCACATCTGACATTCCTTTTTTATTTTTACAATGATATTCAATACTTTGATTAGTAATTAAAAATAATGGAGAAAATACTTCTTTTGTCTCCTGGGGCTTAAAGCAAGGTAAACATGATTTCTCATTCAAGAGGTACTTTTATGAAGTGAAACATCATCTGGGATATAACTTTGAGTTAAAACAAGAAAACACTCAGATTGCAAATCTGGCAAAGGTGGGAAGGAATCTTACAGAATTTCAAAGGAGATTAAACAAGTTGAATTACGATCTTGTCTGAAAAAATTTTTAAAGCCATAGAAAACAAACAGGAATCACCACCATTCGTTATTTGAAAACTACATAGTAAGTGGGTCCACAGCAGATAGGGGCCTACACCGGTGGTATCTGACACATACCTGGAAGCCAAAGGAGAAAACGTGGTAATTAGGCCTTCAGTTGGCACGCTGGGCCCAGCCATTCGCTCTCTTGACTTAACGATGGAAAATCTAAGTAGATGATATATTGCCGTGTGTATTCTCAAATGATTTCTTTAAAAGACTCTGCATAGTGCATACACAGTGATTAAAATACTTCTCTTCGGAAAATGTTTTATCCACATTAGGTTAGGGGCAGTAACTCATTCGTGAGCACTTGAGAAAAACCTTAGTCACTGGAATCCACACAAGTTCACTAAAAGTTACTTTAAATCTCAGGGCTTCAGTTTCCTCCTATACGAAAGGAAAGAGTCGGGCTAATCTTTCCTTTTTAATTAAAAAAAATTTTTTTAAATTATGGTTAAAAAAACACACAACATTTACCATTCTAATCATTTTAAGTGTAAATTTCAGTAGTATTAAGTATATTCACACTGTTGTATTGCTCTCCAGAACTTTCTCATTTTGCAAAACTGAAACTCTATACTTATTGAACAACAACTATTTCCCCTTCCCCTCAGACCCTGGCAACCACCATTCTACCTTTTGTTTCTAGGAGGTGCACTACTTTAGATACCTCATATAAGTGGAATCATATGGTATTTGTCTTTTTTCTGGCTTATTTCACTCAGTATAATGTCCTCAAGTTCATCCATGTTGTTGCATGTGACAAGACTTTCTTCTTTTTTAAGACTGAATACTGTTCCATTGTATGAATACACCACATTTTCTTTATCCATTTATCCATTGGTGGGCATTTGGCTTGCTTCCTCCTCTGAGCTATTGTAAATAATGCTGCAGTGAATCTGGGTGTGCAAATATCTCTTTGAGATCTTGCTTTCAATTCTTTTGGCTATATACCCAGAAGAGGGATTGCTGGATCATACAGTAATTCTATTTTTAATTTTTTAAGGAACATCCATACTGTTTTCTTTTGTGGCTCACTATTTTGCCTTACTATCTACAGTGTAAAATGATGATAATTTCTCCACATCTTTGCTAACATTTGCTATTTTCCATTTGTTTTTGATAGTGGCCACCTTAATCGGTGTGAGGTGAGAGCTCACAG